CTGGGGCCAAAAGGTTCTTGGACAAGTGCACTACCTACATGAAGACCTTTGTCCAACTGGCATCTCGGAACAATCACAAAGTTCTTGGGTTTTGTACATCGGAATGTATTAATGGATTGGGAAACATGTGGGAGTGCATTAAGAACTTCCATGTACCTCACCCAATTCGAGTCGAAGGATCGTTCACAGTGTCAATGCTACGTGATCACCTTCGAGAATTTAAGCTTCGACCTTACGGAGGTGACCTACGAGGTGTGCACCAATCTGTCCCTGGGGAGGACACATGGTTGAGTGCAACGAGGAAGAAAGACGGAGTTCTCAATCCGTCAGATCCTGATGTACCCATTACCATCTCATTCAGGGCGATTCATCGTGAGCTTCACTACTTCGACATGGGCATGTCCTGGCAATCGGAGTCAACCCAGAACACGTTCAATGCGATGCTCGACGAATGGCAGCGACAAGTCATCCATCTTGGGCATGCATGGAGGTGCTACAACCAAAAAGTCGACGATGAGGGTGAGATGATAGAACCTATAACATTGGAAACGACAATCAATGACCTTATCGAGCAGAACACCAAACTGGGCCGTGAAAGAGCTGCCCGGTGAACCACTTCACCTGCATTCTGGCTTTGTCGCCACCAATCTTCAGAGCCAAGGCTAAGCTGGAGAGGTATTGGCGATTCTCCGATACCGCAAGGGCAAACATGACAAAGATTAACGACTACTTTGCCAAGATTCAACATTCTCTGATGCTTACTTCAGAAATTCTGATGAATCATGGGTACAATGTCATCAACGTTGAGGACGGCAACCACGGAGAGATCATGAAAAGAAATAGATGCTTTTCTGCCCTGAGAGATTTCATGACGACTCTCTCAGAAACTCAGGCTGGTGGAGGACAACCAGGGGTACAAGTGGCATCAAGCGAATGGAGAAAGGTCCTGAAGTTTGGTGATGGAGTTTGGCCGCCGGAACCACCCAGATCGTGGATTCCAGAATGGGTGACGATCCCAGATCCAATAGTGCCTGTACCGAGGATCAACAGGTTCGGACCAAGGCCACCTCCTGGACCACCACCTGGATACAAAGCACCGCCACAGCCTTATCCATCGGCGAAACCACCACCGCCGAAGGCAAGACCAACATCACCATCGGCACAGACGGCACCTTCAGGGCCGAGTGCATCGGGATCTCAAGCGTCAGGTTCAGCTGGACCACCACCGCCACAGGCGGCACCCAAGCCTGCGGCGAAGCCAATGCCAAGACGTGAGACTCCTGCAACGGACTATGTTCCACCATTGACACCTTCAAACGTGATCCTGTATTGCAGGGCGTTGACGGACTACACGGGCACTCAGGTGAGATCATTCCTGAACATCCACGTGGACTGAGTTTGCTCTGTCGTACGTCCAAGGACCAATGGCGAACAGGGTGCAATCAACTTGGCGTCAATACCTTAGAAGGGTAGCCACGTACACCTGCTTGTGCTTCGGACTTGCCAACGCAAGGGAGATCGGTGAATCATCCTACCCCTTCAGCGACATGGAATGGCTGAGGATTTACAACGCCGCAACGAAGCGTGCTTACATAGTCCCGTTTTTTTATAACTAGTTATGTAGAGTTATGTTAATTATGTAGAGTTATGTTGAGTTAGCTAACTAGTTATAACTCTTATTAACTCTGTTTTTGTGTTGTTTTGAATGTAAGAAAAAACGCTTTCTACTTCAAGGAAAAAAGGTTTACTGGCATCAAGAGGCTACCAAAGCTTTAATTTTCAAACAAAAACATTGAGCCATATATATGGGACAATTGTCCAGGATGAATGTCATGGTATGTTCAAAAAGAAAATATGTAATTCAATATGAACATTGTGTAACAAAGAATGAAACCAAATAAGTACCAAGAATCATTTGAAATCAAGCTGTTTATTCAAAAAAGAATGAATCCGCATTTTGTAGCAAAAGGAAAGTAAGAGTAAGCAACACTGATGCAGACTCTGATGAGCCACCCCCATCTGCTGGATCGCTGAGCTCTGCTGCATCTGCGCTTCTCTTCTCTTTGCCTTTGCCAGAAGCCTTGCCACGCTGTCCTTCTCTGCGCCTCTTTGCAGCTGGAGCGCGCTTTTTGGTTAAGAGCTTGAAAGCACCGAGGGCTTGCTTTGCGTCTTTCTCTTGCTGCAGCTGACGACGCAAAGAGTCAATGTCAACTGGCTGAATAGCCACAACATCAAAAAGATGTAAGAGCCGCACAGGGCCAACCTTGAGAGTGGCCATTTCCCAGTCGTCGGCCAATTTCACCAGTTCAACACAGAAGCGCTTATCCCCCAGGCACGTTAAAGATCCGCCTTTGCTTTTCTCGCAAGCCAAAGTAAACAGAGTACCTTCAGGCACTTGTTCTCTTGGCAAAACGGATAGGCCCGCCAAAACTGCATCGATTGGTTTTTTTCCGGGAGTTGTAAGCAACAGCCGCATAGCGCTTTGCCCTTGCCGTGGGCGCAGTAAATTGCAAAAGCAGGGGCTCCTCCATTGGGCACGAAGGGCGGGGCGCCTGTCTCATAATGGTCTCTAAAACCAAATCAATCAAGGTTGAATACGCTTTGCGCTGCCGCCCTGGAAGGCCATGGGGGCATGCGTCGGGATGGCATTCAGCCCACAAAGGCCCTGGCATTTCTGGAGCGCCGGCAAAGCTATTATCAGCTTCAGGCAACAGGTCACAGCTTGAGTCCTTAAACTCTTGGTCCAACTTGTGGAAATCTTCGAGATTGTCGACCACAATGTCTCTGCGCAAGGGAAACCCAGAGGAAGCACTCATCTCCCAAAAACCACCACAAACTTTTTCACTCTCGAGCAAGCGAGAACGATCGCTAGCCTGAGCAGCTTTGGATTGCAAATTTTGGGCTCTTGCAAGGGTAGCATATTGCCTGCGGGTATCTAGAGGCAAGAGCCTCCACTGCCGCATGAGACCATTGGCGGGGTTGAGCCCAGTTTCCTTTGCAAAAATGTGTATACCATTTTGAGAGCGGCCTCTTTTTGCACCGTGTGCCCAAGCCGGCCTACCTCTATTACTCTTTGGCTTGCAAATTTGTCTTTCCTTGATAGCCTTCAATCGCCAAATCTCAGTTAACCGCCGGAAGTGGTAAACCACATGCTTTGCTGCCAGCGTGCTGAGTTTGGGCTTGGGTCCTTTGCGGTCACACCAGCGGTTTAGTCTTGCAAAGTCTCTTTCAATGCATGTGGATGTGGGAACAACCCGGTCGAAGACCTCTGCTAGAAACTTCAAAGTGTCTTCATGAAGCAAGGCTTCTTTGCTTTGGACAATTGCGCGCAGTTTCAAACTGAAGCAGTCAAGAAAACAAGCTGGAGCCTGGAAGAAAAGGTCGGCAGCATTTTCTTGCAAGAGTGGGTCGAGCAACTTGATCAATTTCCATGGGTATCGCGTCCAAGGCTCAATTAACTTTCTGTGCAACTGGCCCATGGTTGTAAACAAGCATCTTCGGGTGGCTCGCAATCTGGGCTGCGGCCAAGCAAGGATGGGCCCATAGTGTCCCAGCAGCGGGCTCCAAGCATCAACCCCAAAAGTATCCAGCAGCAAGTCTTCTAACTGAGACTGGGCTTTGGCAGCTGGATTCCGGACAGGGTCGGCGAAAAAACCAGCTGACGCTGGTGGATCATCAAGTTACCTCTCAGGCTCTGGCTGAGGTCTCTCTGTCTTCTAAATGCCTCTCTTGAACAGAGAATAATGTATAATCATCACTGGTGCTGTCACAACTGACCACAACATGGTGAACCACTGGCTCTGCGCGTCACCCAAGAAGTGCGTTGCCTTTTTTTGCCTCTTGCGGGCCAACTTTCGCCACACCTTGGTTTGATCCAAGAGAACCCCAAGTTCCTTATCTTCTGCAAGGCCCTCGTCTTCAGACTCGCTAACGTTGGCCTGAGACCCGTTGTCAAAACAACGACGAAACGCCTCAGGAACAACGTTGCAGAAATGTTGCATCGCTGAAACCAGGTTGATGCAGGGCGCTACGGTAGTCCATTTATTCAATGCAGGAGCAGTGAGAGTACGTAGAAAAACGGCTTGGACCAACTTTACAGCTTTTTCAAGATTCTCGCCTTCGCTGCTGCAACATCCTCGGCAGACATGCACCGGCGGTCCTGCCAGGGGAGCAGAATCAAGAATCAAAACTGGAAAATGTAACTTAGCCAGAGGCATCCTGGAACTCTCCTTTGGGCACACCAACCCCCCTATCATCCGGAAAATTGCGTTACACTATTGATTTAATGCTTCCAGTTGCGTCATGCGTTGACATTCATAGCTATTTAATCCCCTTGGAAAACTTACTTATTTTACATTCCACCTGAAAAACAAACCGTTACAAACAGCAACTCCCCTTGCAAACCAACTGACAACAAAATGAAGCACAGAAGAACTGGATGCGCTGTCTTTTTGACTGCTGTGGAAGAGTCCGCTGGTTGCGGCTCGAAGGTTGAAATCTAACGCTTTGCAAAACCAGGCCGAGGCCCCGCAGCACTTTCAAACGAAACAACAGCTCATTCCAAATGCAGTGGCTTGTTAAATAAGGAATAATACTTGCGTAGCTGCTGCTGCGGGGCAAAGCAGAAAAGGCCTACGGGCAGAAGCGTGTCAGATCCAACCTGGCTGGAAGCCACAAACGCCTAGAACCAAAGGTTGCCTCTGTACCAAGTGTTGCGGCCTTGCCAGGTCCTGTGGTTGTCAGTGCGATCCGGAGGAGGCTGCAAAGGGCGACCATTCCATACCTGCTGGAGGCACATGGCCAAATCAACATTGCAGCGGAGTGCAAGATCAACCTTGGGCCAAGTTCGAAAAATAAGTATGACGAGTTATTATAATTATTAACTATTATCAATATAGTGAGCTAACCTATGGACCCGCAAAACCTAAATCATCAATTACCATACATGGGGAATGCTCTTGAAAAAACACAATGACAACAACTGTCCGATAGGTCTGCGATCAAACATGCCAAGAAGCACAGCCAAGTCCACGACCATTGCCTTGGTTGATCACAGCGGAAACCAGGCCAAAGGCCGCATCTGTGCCGTTGGCCTTGTTGTACATCGAATACAACATCCTCTTCGTTGTGTATACCATGCCTTTTGAACAGGCGTGGTGCAACACAGTGGATCCGTTTCCAGACCGGCACTCCACCGTTGTCAAGGCGCTGTGCTCCAGCAGGTGGCTCAACATGAACTTGTAAGTTCCTTCATCCATGCTGGTCTTGCCTACGTCCACGCATACCATAAGGGGCGTCCATTGCTGAGGTCTTCCGGTAGGAGAGGTAACTTGGTCGCACAAATGCGTGTTCAGGTTGGTCAGCTTGACCGCCACCTCCCAGCATCCAACCCTGACAGCATGATGCAGCAAAGTCATGCCGTTGGAATCCTTGAAGTGGAGAATCGTTGCCTCTGTGACCGCTGGCTCGTCCAGCATAGGCAACACCGCCAGAGGCGAAGTCCCACACAGGGTTAAGAAGACCTGTTCCTTGAATGTGTCCTTGTTGGCGTCCTCCAAGCTCTTGGCCAACATAGCCTGGCGGTGAAGCCTTTGCTCTTCCAGGAGGTTAACAATGCGTGCCATGGTCTCTCCATCCTGCTTCGAAAAAGCAGCGGGGTCCAACGGCTTCGGCTCCGAGTCCTTGGGCTCGTCAGCATCAGGAGCATCGTCTGCATCCCAGTCGGGCTTCTCTTCCATACCTGCTGCTGTGCACACAAGGACAAGCCCTACAAAAAAAAAGAAATGAAAAAAAGGGTGTGTTATGATGATTTGAATTGGATGAGGAATAAAAAACATTCGAACCAGCACAAGCTGCTGGCGTCTCCCTCAGACGGTCCCTGACCCATGTCAACGTCTGCACGATCTGCGTTTGTCTCTGGATCAGTTGTCTTAACCTTGGCACCAGAGGCCGAAGCTGCGCCCTTCGGACTCTTTGCAGTCTCGGCTGGTGCCTCAGAAGGGGACTTTGGCTGCAAAGTTTTCAGCAATTTTAAGTTCAATTTCTCCAGGTCGTCGCACAAGGATTTCAGCTTGGCTTCCCGAGGATCTTTGCTGTGGAGCTCATCTGGCACGAGTTCAAACTCGGGCTGAGCCCCTTCCTCGCCTCCATCTCCATGTTCTTGCTTCTGCTTCTTTGGTGGAGTTGGCAAGGAAGCATTAGAGGACTCCACGGAAGAACCTTCGCGGCTGGATTGTGTGGTAAAACCATGGTCAGAGACCGCATCATTCTCACTGGTGATGTACTCAAAAGAAGAATACCCAGAAGAATCGCGGCTTGGTCGTGGCATAGCCTTCACCTTGGGTCTCGAACCATGAGGTCCAACCAGCTCAAAGTCCAACTGCATGGCTTTCTTCCTGAAGTTCACCGGCGTGATGATCTCTGCAGCGGCGAAATTCTCGGCTCCTTCCAGAATCTTCGCCTCATTGTCACACAGCCAGTGGATGGGTTTTGTAGGCCGGCGTCTTGAAGCGTTGGGCGGAGGAAGGCTGCTGAGGTCGAAGATATTGCGCAAGGTGTTGCAGTATGCCTCAGCTTCCTGGGCCTTCCATCCTGTCAGGCGCATAATCACAGCGCAAATCAAAGTTGCGCTGCGATGGGCGCCATTTTTACAACAGATGAGCACAGAATGACCTGCCTTCAAATATTTCACAATTTGATCAGCCACGTCCAAGAATGCCCGGAGGGAATAATCACCGTTGACAAGGCCTGTTCCGTCAATGTAGGGCAGCACCTTGATGTTCATTGAATCTACAACCGCGGGCTTGCGAGCAGCCGGGAGGATCACTGTGATGAAATTTGCCTCCAACAAGGATTGGTCTCCACTGGCCATTTCGCCACCCAGCCAAAGGCTTCCAGAGCACCCTGGCACAGCCTTGGCCATGTCGAACACCATATGCATAGGGTGCCTCATGTCCGACTCGCTCACAAAAAAAAATAGTACAGAAACAATATTCCATCCAACAACAAGTACAAATATGAGTCATTGGGTCGGTGGGGGATATTAAAGAAGCAAAATGCTGTTATAAATATTAAATATCATTGTGTTTTTTACGGAATTAAGAATGAAGGCATCTACATATCTATATATGTCTGCTGTTTATATCATACAACATAGATATTTGATAGTTATTTGTACCATATGTTATCTCCTGGAAAGAGCAAACCAGAACAAACAAAACACTAAACTAACATCTGTACCCAGCGACCGGGAATTGTAAGCATCCCTGGCCCACTTCACAGCTTCAACTCCACCATAGGTGTCAGCAACCAGGCATCTGCTCAGTTCACGTACAACCCTGGTCAAAGCCTCGTCATCCGTCAGCACCTGTGAACCAGGCCAGAGGCCACGAACACTCTGGCAGCGGCTGTCAAGGGGGGCAAAGGCTGCACCCAAGCCATGCTTGCGCAAAACATCGCTCAGGCCTTTCGGGTCCGGTTTGCTGTAGACTGCGGGCATGGTTCTCCACTGGCTTCAACTCCGGAAGCACACGTGCAACGCTTGAGCCCAAAAAATCTATAATGTCAGAAAAATTCACTTGCAGCGCTATAGACACCACTGGCAACCACTTCCCCTAAAAATTCAACCCTGAACAAACAATACCTTTAAACAGGGGTAGAACTTCCATCAAGAAAAAAACACATCAAAAGTGATGAACCCAGTCCTGTCCACGGACCAGCGAAGAACTCCACAAACTCGTCATATATAGCCACGCCTTGCTCCTCATCTCCTTGCTTCACTAAGGCCAAGATTTGCTTCGCGCAAACCTGGCCAAAGGCCCATTCTTCGGCTAAGCCATCTGGAATCCGCTGGAGTATTTGCATTTCCTCCTGCAAAATGTTGCGCACCTCGGCAACCAGTTTGCGAACCACGACTCCTGAACGAAGCGTTTTTGCCACAGCGTATGCTCCGGTAAGCACACCCAGCAATTTCGTGACTCTTTCGATGACATTCCCCGTCCTGTGCTGCAAACACAAAAACGGGAAGAATATAGACTGTCTGTCTAGCACAGACTGCAAATGCCCCAATAACTTAATATTGGCAGGTACAGCATCACAAGTCACTAGAACCAGCCTGTACTTCGCAGGCAAAGTGGACAAACCCGGCCAAAGGCCCCCCAAACCTGCGCAAAGCGCGGGCCACATGGTGGAAGCCTTCTTGTTGGGAATTGCCACAGGCAGTCGAAGAATGTCGAAATCCTGAATCTCATCGGAAAAACCAAAAGTCAACTGGGCATGAGAAGCTAGGATGGACCAGGCGCCGAGGCCGAAGGATTGCAGGTTCACCTCCAGCTCAGTCTCGTCAAAAATCATGTTGGTCATTGCAAATTTCAACCCTGTCCTTTTTCCCTTCTCCATAACAATTTGCATGCCCCTCTGCTGACCTGTCATGACCAGCTGAGCAGCAAAGAATCTGCACTCTGAAGCGTGGCTCGCGCTGCCGCCATCTACCTGGCCAGCAACATGCCTAGGACCCCGTGTTGGCTTGAACGTATGAACGGGCGAGCAAATTAGAAGTTGGATAAAAAAGAGGATCCAGTCAACCCTGGCTTATGCAGGTGTGGTGTCCTCACAGTTCGAACCAATGGCTGCTGACGGAGACAGTGAATCATGTTCGGTCCAGGCAGAGTCAACAAAATACCAGACACTGCAACAGTAGGAAATATGTACAACATATGACCGGTGACAGGATTGGAGGGACGGTGCATTGTGGTTCAGTAGTAGATTCATGACACAGGAGGGAGTAGCAAGGGGCGGGGCAAGTGGTGGGGCCGTAGCACATGACAGGCGGGGGTGGCTATCAGTATAAGATATGCTAGAAAAGATGGACGCTGAGGAGCATCATCAGGAGGGAGTACACATTATTGAGAGTATACATAGCTGTCGGGATATTGGGGAGAGGGTGGCAGTCATGAGGGCATGAACCATGTGAGATGAGTACCTGGTAGGGTGAAAACGGAGCTGAGCCCTCACCATTACCCAAGGTGCCCTTGGGAACAGTAGAGGAATAACAGACACATGTGTCATGTTCCTACCGATGTGAGGGGCACAGCGGGGGGTGAGGGCATGCGGGACGACTTAGATAAATGATGGAGTGCGGGAAAACCCTATGTCATCAAACCCTATGTCGTCCAGGGCATTCATGGTTCCATCCAACTGGCACTGCAATCTCATGGTCAAAAGTTTGACAGGATGGACATAGGAAGATCTGCTGGAGTAAGGCACGAACGTGGTCAGCAGTTGCGCTACGCGCTGCCCTGTGCATGGACAAGGTCCGAAATGCTGTACAGCGCTAATGGACTTGCTGACCAAGGAGAGCTTCACAGCTGCATGCCGCCATCTAGATGGGGCGAGGCAGAGGCTATTTCAGAGCTACTTCAGTACAGAACACTAAGATAGCACTGGTTTGGAACAGTGTACCGCATTGCAGTGTAGTAGTTAGACTCGCCATTACCCAAGGTACCCGTGGGAACAGCAGCTGTCCTAAACTGCGAGCACTCGAGGCTCTATCAAGCTCTGAGCATGAGGTGCAATGGGCGGCGAGAGCTCTATCTACCGAAACTTGGCGGCCCTGGATGTCCCACCGGCTCAACTACTCTGCACGAGGGAGGCGTCATCGTGGTACTTCTCTGTCCTCTAAGGGCAAAATGTTGCACACGTTGCTTCACGATGTCTGTTGCACACGCTGCCTTGTCATTGTCCAGTAGCTGAGGTCCTGCATGGTATCTCCAGGTTACCAAGAGGCAAATTAGTCGGCAATCAATTTGTTGAGCTTTGTAACTAGACAAGGAAACAGGCCATGATAGCTACTGGCAAGACGCTTGCTGGAGCTGTGTTACCAGAGATTAGGAAGCACTAGTCTTTCCTGCAGCTGTTGGCAGCATGTCTGGAGGGTTCATTAACCTCTGAAAGTTATTGAATAAGTATTGAACAATTAACTGGTCACTCATTACTACCACGAGGCCCGCAATCAATACCCTCCAAATGGATATGTTCGAAACCAAAAATAATAACATTGAGATCATGCAGTAAAGGATAATCATCGGGCACAACAGGGGGGCTAGGAAAAACAGCAGTTTCAACGTCTTCCCTTTGGACAGATGGTGATTTCGATTCTATTACGGCAACTGGAGATTTCACCGTGGCCAGAGCTTTTTTCTGTGCCTGGCGCTCTAATTAGACTCCGTCCACGACACCAGCGCCAAGACTTGCTGACAAATAAGCTAACAGCTGCATGCCTCATCTATATGGGGTAAAGCAGAGGCTATTTCAGCGCGAATTAAGTACAGAACACCAAGATAGCATCGGTTTGGAACAGTGTACAGCATTTCAGTGTCGTAGTGAGAAACTCGCCATTACCCAAGGTGCCCTTGGGAACAGCAGCTGTCCTAAACTGCTAGCACCCTAGGCTCTATTAAGCTCTGAGTATGAGGTGCAATGGGCGGCGAGAGCTCTATCCACTGGAACTTAGCGGCACTGAATGTCCTACCGGCTCAATTATACTGCACGAGGGAGGCGTCATCGTGGTACTTCTTCATCCTGCGTCGGTGGTGCATGGCCCTGGATCTTCAGCGGTGTCATGCGGGAAGTGATGTCCCACACCCGGGAGCAACCCTCATTCATTGGATAGTTCGACGGAATTTCTTATAGCCACGTGGATGGTAGCACTACAACTTAAGCTAAGATCGTGCGCCAGTTGGCAAGATGATATAATGGGAGAACGACCCTAAGCATAAGCGTTGCTCAGCCTAGCGATGCTGCCAACAGGGCAATAACTATCAGGAACCAGGCCCTCTTTGATGTGGTAAATTGGACTAATGACAATTGGGCAACAGTTATTTCTGGGAGTAGGGCCAGCTTACAACATCCACTCGCAGGGTGAGCTACAATGTGGGAGATGAGGGGTTGCGCGCTTGGGCAGTGCATTGATGGTAATTATTATGGTTGGAGCGGAGAAGATATATCTTTTCCTGGGACAGGCGAATCATCCGTAACTACCCAGCATTTGTTGGCATCTGAACGTGGACAGGGAAGTGTTATCCATTCGTTTTTACTACGAGAAGCTTCATTCGAAAAGGAGACAATGTAGGTGGCAAGTAACGCCGAAGGGCAGGATTACTCAGCGTGAACTGCTGCACCTAACCATTGGTACAACACTCGAGTAGGACGACCCGAAGCAAATGACTCCAAAAACTAACCTAGAAGCTTATAATTGTGTCGTGGGATACAATGCGCAGGTAGATCGGAGGATCGTGGAGTATGGCATGGTACAGGACGTACCTACGGACCGACAGAAAACGGGATGCAAAGACAGCAACAGGTGACTACGGCTTTTTACGTAGTTTATATCAGTCCGAAGGAGCCTTAGCCGCTCGATGGAGGTCACTGAGAAACTTTTTCCATTACCCAAGGTACCCTTGGGAATAGAAATGGTCGCATGGCAGTTGCATATAGTGATGATCTCACCGCTAGTCCATCCTCTCAGGGCAAAATGTTTATTATAAATCTTTGAGGCTCAAGAAATTCAAGACCCAAAAGAAACAAGAAGGAAAGACTCATCTTTCCAATCAACTCACACCAAGACAAGTTTGACACCGCGCATCCTTCTTTTTTTTAACCACGATGGGGAAACGAGTCATCAGTTGAATTCAATGAGACATATTTGAAATCGATCTGGGCTACCAGTTTTCTGAGGATCAGATGTCTGGTGGGAACTTCAACACACAGGAGTTGTCTCGGGATCGAAAATGAAAAACCAACGATGAGGTTTAGAATCAAAGTATAGATTTGTAATAATGGAAATGCCTCGTCATAAGAATCAAATCTCAACACCAAATCAGAACCAACTGTATTAGTTCCCATCCAGATCGTCCCAAAACATTCCATGGTAGCCAGAATGAAATTGTTCAAAATCAAATGCATCTTGGTCATTTTGTTGAGCAAGATGATCTTCATATTGTTGTTGTATATGAGTAGCTTCAGTGGGATCAACTTCTAGTTGATCAGGTTGCGATTCAGAGTCAATCTCTGTAATGAGACTGAGTTCTGGCGAAAAGGAAACATTGTCTTCAAATTGAGATTGTGGAAGCAAAACAGGTACAGATTTCACGAATTTGGTTAGCATGGCGACTGAAAGACAGTCAGCTGCTGCAAACAAGGAGGAAACAAGGAGCTCCGGATTTGGGAGTCTCTTGAATTGATGAAAGGAAATGAGTTCGCGAATTAAACAATTCAGAAAGGATAAATTTGAAATGAATTGATCAAGGCCTGGAGGGAGAAGAGAATTTGCGAAGAGGAAGACGGAGGTAGAAGGATGATCGACAAAGAAGCTGGAAATTGGTTCAAAATGTCCAGAAAATGAACAATGGATGACTGAACAAAGGAAGGCCCAATGGCGGCCTGTGAAACTGTCGAAGATGTTCTCAAGAAGGAAACAAACGATATTGAGAAGACGAACGAGTCGTTGTCCGTTATCGATGTGCATCGAAAGCCATTCACGAAGAGTCTCGCTCAGAGTATCCATACCTGGCAAGAAGAACAAAAGAAGAGGGTGAGGAGGGAGGGAGAAAAATTTTCACTGCAAATGTAAGAAATCAATGTTTGGTTCTTGAAATTTCTTGAGCCATGGCCACGGAAATAAAATAATTCTGAGGGAATTTCCGATCTCACAGATTTAAAATAAAGATATGTCTAACGATGTTAGAAATAGTTCTTATTATAAATCTTTGGGGCTCAAGAAATTCAAGACCCAAAAGAAACAAGAAGGAAAGACTCATCTTTCCAATCAACTCACACCAAGACAAGTTTGACACCGCGCATCCTTCTTTTTTTTAACCACGATGGGGAAACGAGTCATCAGTTGAATTCAATGAGACATATTTGAAATCGATCTGGGCTACCAATTTTCTGAGAATCAGATGTCTGGTGGGAACTTCAACACACAGGAGTTGTCTCGGGATCGAAAATGAAAAACCAACGATGAGGTTTAGAATCAAAGTATAGATTTGTAATAATGGAAATGCCTCGTCATAAGAATCAAATCTCAACACCATCCCATCCTCGTAAATTTGATTGTTATGAACCTTCAAGTTTTCTGAGAAATTCCTTGATGATGAAGTCAAAGACTTCCAATGGGAAAACAAAACATTCAGCGCCAAGGTCTCGTACTTCATCCAGTGAGTCCCTGGATGGTCCATCCGCAATGTTAGAAGAGGAGTTCACTCTGGATATCCAGGGTACGAATTGAAGCCTTTGTTCCAGATCAAGAAAGAGGTAGAAAAGGGATCTTGATGAATGGTTGATGGAGCCGGCATTGATCAAAGCTGATTGTGCCGCAGAGTTGTCGACGTGAAAGAACACGCGCTTCGACCTCAATTCTTCCTCAAAGGCAATGCAAGCCATGATGACTGGCAGAATCTCCAATTGATGAATCTTCCCACCAACAGTTTGAACTTGCTCACGGGTAGGCGAAAATGAAAAGGCCTTGAGACAATCTCCACGTTCACTCACCAACACAGCACCGACTCCAGCAACTGAATCCGAGTCACCAGCTGGCTCCAAGGATCCGTCTGTGAATACATGTTCTACTTCAGACCGTCCGAAAAAGACTTTCCTCGGCATACCGACCTTCAAGTGCGAGATCATGATCTCAAGAAGTCTCCTTGTGTTCGGATCTATCCTCTTAGAGTGTTTCTGACACTCGTACCTTCCCAGATCTTTTAATTACGGATGCGGCCGTCCGCCCGTACAATTGCGAGCACGCGAAGCTAAGTCTACTCCTTAGCCCCTTTGCATCACGACCACATATCTTGCCAGAGGAGAGGACTGATCCAATCCTTTTGACAAGATCTTCAACTCGTTGATCGGTGTTCTTGATCTCAAAAGAGTCGCCAGGCATCTTATGCAGGTCAAATGCAACACCCAGAGCGCTGAAGACTCGAGCAAAGTCTCGGTTTTTCTTCTCCGCTGTGCTGAGGTTGAGTCCCAGGACTTCGAAAATCGTCCTTATGGCTAGGTCTGTACCCTTGGCCAACGACTTCCTTGTGACGACAGAGAAGTCGTCGTAGTATGAGGTGACAGGGACCTTTAAGAGAGTACAGCAGATGTTGTTGATGGCTGCTGCTGTCCTCAAAAACGCATGAACGGAAGCAATAGCGCCAAATGGCATAGTTGCCATTTTAAACAGTCTTGGCTTCTTACTGTTGGGATCGAAAACGCAAATGATCGCTTTCCCACGCTCACTCGCATGAATAGGAAGCTGGCGGTAAGCGGCCTCCATGTCGTATGTACGACCCAGCAGATCGTCCATGCCTGATCCCATCAGGCGCTTAATGAGGGCTGCAATCTCGTCAACCCCTTGCAAAGCAATCTTGTCAGTGGATCCAATGGTTGCATTGATACTTGAAAAGGAGAAATCGTCAATGGCTCTGGATTTGTCACCCTGCTGGATGATGAACCTTGGTGACAGTACATCTCCTTTATCAAGGTCCTCCACATTGACTTCCTCGACGATCCAACCTTTCTGGACTTCCTCCAACGTGATCTCCAGAAGATCCGAGGCCAACTCTCCGGAAGAGTTCCGTTCACACCTGAAAATTACAGATTGATTGAGAAAGGGAGAAAGCGATTCAAGAGTAGACTTTGAGATCTGTGGAGGCGTTGTTTGTCTTGTGAAAAGTCCAGAAGGGTTAAGCCATCCAGTCAGTCTGAAGCCAGCTTCCAGATCCCCAACGATGTCCACGTCTGGATGTTGTATTGAAGACAGCAACTCTTCAAGAAGACAGAGACGCTTCTTCGAATTGATGGCCTTGACGACACCATCACAATTATGCTTGCGCTTCCTTTCCAAATTGTTCAGTTCTTTCGCCCGGTCCAAAATGGACTTCAGAGTTTGTGCTTGTTCCCTCAGGTATTCGTCTTGAGGCTTTGATATCATGTCTTCGATGGCTTGAGAATACCAACCCCAAGAGGAAGAATTAATTTGGCTCGGATGTTTTGTCCCTGCCAACTTCTGCAGGTAGGTACATGGAGAAATTGGAACAAGAACCTTCATCTTTCGTGAGTCATCTGTCCGAATTGAATACTGAGCTTTTGAAGACGACCCATCATCAAACTGAAGCTCAGGAGGGAAAACGGTCCCTTTGAGAAAAGGAGAATGAAGTTTGTCATTTGGAATATAAATGTCAGGTAACTTAGATTGAGCAACCCAGAGGTCTTGAAAAGACGAAGGTAAGAAAGAAAATTGAGCACCACGAGGTTGAATGCCAACTGATCCTCGAAGAAGATGTCGAGCATGACGTGGGTCGCTTGTGTCAAAATCGAAAATGTGAGATGGTGGTGGACAAAAATTATGATGAAGAGCGATGTCAGACAGGAGAGAAGCGATTGCAGAGCAAAGTTGAAGAGGATATGCTGCTTCTTCAGCCGTATAAAAATGAATAGAATCTTCAGAGAAGGATCGCCAAGGAGCATGTTCATGAGCTTCATCACATAGAATCGCCAAAGACGTAAGGTCAAAATTTGCTAATAAGCCAGTGCGTTTCGGGCGAGAGCCACCGAACATACAATTGTGTAACAAAATTTTGGGGAAATTCTGATGTCGTTGAGAGATCCAAGAAGTAAACCAGAATAAAGAATCGAAGGGATTCTCAATCACCCAATAGAGGCCAAGTAGGTCGCAAAGAGATGCGATACGTTCACAAAGTTCATAAAGAGAATTAGCTGACAAGACCCGTTCGAGGTCCATGCCAAATAGATCTGGTAGTCCATCTGGGCATAGGTCAGATCTCAATGGGCTTGCAAAAGCATTGCTAAACCTGTTCTTTGCAGGGATATTTCTGGCCCGTGATGCTGTACCGCACGGAGGTGCCATCCAAACGAGAAAAGGCTTTTGGTGATGAATAAGATCCAATAACAAAGATTGGTCATGCTGAATGGTAAGGTCCAATTGCATTACGCGAAATTGGTGAGACTGTGTATGGTCAACCGCAATGGCCTGGAAGCCAAACTTTACAAAGGTTGAGGAAAGGTTGCACGACCCAGCAAATACTTCAATGATGAGGAGCTCACCGATGGATGGCATTCTGCTGGCTGCTGACGAATTCGGATGTGAACCTGCAACTGACTTCGAGGGCAATGGTTCTTCATGCATCGGCTGTGCATGTTCTGAGCAAGAAGAAGATAGTCAAGCCTGGTTCTGGCCAGGCTTCTTGTTTTTGGCATGGCATGTTTGGTAGGAGTGCTTGGCGTCGCCACACGACCATGACATACAAGAATGATCACCTTTGGAACACGAATCCTTGTTGGGGCACCCATGGCTCATGTTGAAATCAAAGCATTTAGGTTTGTTGTTACGGGTGCGTGGGTTCAAACCACGAAGCGGTGCAGGCATGGAGACAGAAGGCGGTTTGCCTTTGCCTTTGCCTTTACCTTTCGAAGTCTTGCCCTTGTAGGGACCATCACGTTCTGAACGAGGTCGATCGGAGTTCTTACCATAGGACGAGGACGAGGGTGTAGTAGTCTTCGGAGATGGAGCCACAGAAGGAGCTTCCGGGCGGGGAAGGAAATGGAGAGAAAATTCTGGGCTGACCATGATTTCTTGGATGAAGACGTCCACTGTCTGAGGCGAGATCTCAATGCCAACTTTCTCCGCAAGTTTGGTCCAAAAGAATTTATCCGCTTGGATGATCTGTTGGAGGCTGGCCGCAACATAACCAGTTGGAGCTTTGACTGAGAGCTGAGCAAGAAGCAATTGGTGGTACTTGTTGATCTGGGAGAAAGAAGTAACTTGAGCAAGATCCAAAGCTAGGGCTCGTCTAAGAAAGCAATTGGAGAGCTTCAAAGCGTCTGAAGTTGAGGTATTTGGCAACGATGATTTCTTAGATGTAAGACGACCCTGCTCAATGGTAAGGACTTCCTTATCCTTGTTGGTGTTCTCCACGAGCTCTGTATCTCTCTTGGTACAGCGATGAGGTGGAATGAATTTGATAGATTTGGACTCAATCATCGCATATGCCAAATCGATAAGTTCAAATGATGGCTCAGTTTCGCCTTGAATGATCACACCGACTAGACGCTGCTTTTGTTCAACGATTCGTGCTTGTCGCTCAACCGGTGGAAGCTTCTTGGTGGTTGAGTCGGACCCTCCAGGCAAACCTGCTGATAGCACTTGAGATTGAATGGTTGTCATAAAGAGGGTCTGTGCCTCAAAAATCAACCTCTTCACAAGGAACTCATCTGATCCCTCAAGAACGATGTTCTTATCCAAAATGAATTGTTGGAAGTCTTGCGATGAACATTCTCCTGGCGTAGTTCCAACAGCAAAGGCCATAGAATTGAGAGAATCGATGCCATGTACTTGGAGGGAATTTACACATGGAGTAGAGCGTCCAATTTCTCTGGCTCTTGCAGAAAATTGGGCTTTGCTATCCAGAAGTGCCATGATTGAAAGAAGAATTCGCTGAAGAATCAAAAGTTCGAATGGGATTCTTGAGAGGAAATTTGCAGAAAGGAAATGAAAAAGAAAAGGGAAGAAAAATGCAAAGGTCATGAGAAAGCATCATGATCAAGCACATCTGCTTTTTCGATCAGCATTCGTCATATGAGCCAACTAATTTGCTGGCGAAACATTGAACACATGTCGGCAGAGGGTGTGAAGGGAAATGGTCAAGACGTTCATACGTCTGTGAAAGTGCTCTGCCACAAATCAATCTTGTATGCTCAGCATTCACCAAAAGGTGTAAACGATGAGTTTGTTTGTGTTTGACAGGGAGAAATTTCTCCACATGTTGAAAACACTTGTTCTGTAATGAAGAAGGAAAATCAGGCACAAGATCAACCTGGTCTTCGTCGTCAACGAATGAAGACGAAGAGGATGAAGATGATGAAGATGACGACTCGTGGCCGCAGAGCTCTTCGGTGTAAGCAGGGACTTCATCTTGTGGTTCTGAAGCATCTGGTGCAACCTGATGGTTTTCAGGATCAGAATGCGGAAATTCAAAAACGGATTCATCTGAGTCAGCTTTGGCTGGCGCTTCATCTATTGATGTATCTGGGAAGTACCCTGAACGGGTGGAATCTGGAAGAAAGATGCCGGTCTGGATCTCTACAAGTAGAAATTTGAGTTGTCGTAGAGGTTCTGCAAGAAGATCACGACTGTAGGTTGCCAGAGTTACTTCACTTCTGTCCAGGTGATATCCCAATAATTTTCGAGTATGTGGATCCAGACCTCTTTTGGCTGCAAAACTCAAACAGGTATGCTTCAAAGAATGTGAACGAACAAGATCATTCTGGAAAAGTTCTCGTAGTAACTTCGTAATCTGAGAAGAAGTGACAGGCTCATTGGATAATTGATCATCAGCTTTGACAGGAAGAAATGGTGAAGAAAGTTTGCCTGATATTGGTAACTTCAAATGGCGACGGGCTTGAATGTAATGATGAATCCAAGGTTGTCCGGATAATGAGAAAGTAATAGCCGTAATTGGTAAAAAGTGCAACTTCTTGGCCAGCATGGCAGCAGTTTTGAAATGTTGAGATGGTAACTCGATGTATTGCGGTGCAAAAGAATCTGGGTCAAAGTCGATGGAATGTGCTCCTTGTATGTCCTTCCATCGAGATCGTGCATATAAGGCAATCAAAATAGATCCATAGAGAAGCTTCAAATACTGATCACAAGAGGAGCAGCACAGCGTTTCCAAATGGATAATTTGATCGACTGAGAGTGGTGGTGCATGCTTGATTTGTAAGGCAAGAGCCTTGTGGCCTGCACAGATGCCTCTGATTCGTACTGAAGCCAGTGAAATTCCTTCATATTGGCATCCGAGAACGTGAATGGCAAAGTTCACTGATTGAAGGATCGACTGTAAACCAGATGGTTTAGCAGAATGTTGTAAATCACGAAGAAACTGCCAAAGAACATTTTCTGAAAATGGGATGAACTGTTTGTCATGTAGATCACACCAGGATTTGAAACGAAGAAGATCCATGGATCGTTTAACGATGGTACTTGTAGCCTTCATCGACAGTGCAGCGCTAAAACTGTCATGTAGGTCCCATGGATCTGAGGAGGACATGAACAAAGTTGATCCTGAGGTGGAGGCCAGCATGGAAATAAACCTTGAAATTGCGAGATGACGAAGTCCATCAGAGCGTCCTTGTTGAAGATCAGAATAGCCAAAGAAAGAGGACCAGAAAGATTGTGTAGGAGCGTTTAAAGGAGGGGAAGATGAATTGATAGAGGAAATTGCCTCATTTGAGAAAGAAGGTAAATTGGAATTGAGATGTGAATTGATCGAAGAATTTGAGAAGAGATTTGAGGAAGAATTTGGAACGAAAGATGATTGAAATGAAGATGAATCGAGAGGAATGGAATGACTAAGAATTGAGAGGGGGGATGGGTGAGGATTGAAAATACGTCTCCAAATTCCTCGCTCCCAAGGCATTTGAAAGACAGGACGAGAGCCATGGCTTTCAACGGTGGCTCGACCTGTGCGAAATTCAATATGGAATGAAGAATCCATTTTGGAATTGAGCCTAGATGAATAAGAAGAATTGGAGGTTGTAAGAAATTGAGTTGAGAGAATTTTGCACAATTGTGCACGGACCAAGTGGTCGACGATCCAGAGGGCCACAATTGTGGTCCTGTCAAGCAAGAAGAAATTGAGATTAAAAAGCAGCATGATGCAAACTGAAAATTGACATCAATTGATGAAAGCCAATTGGAAGTTTCGTAAATTAATCACGTGAAAAGGAAGGCTGATCAATGACTCCACGAAGGTGTCGAAGATGTCGAAGCTGAAGAAGATCGAAGAAGGAGGTCCTGCCAGGGGTTAACAGCAACTGCGACGTAAGTATGAAAAGCAAGAAACAAAAGAAAGGGAACATGCAAAGTTAAAATAGCATCACAACGTGGGACGAAAGTCACAAGGAAACAAAGCA